CTACCTTACCTATATCTTTTTGTAAGTGATGTCTCCAGAACTGGACACAGTATTCTAAATGAGGTCTAACTAAAGAGCTATATAGGGGAATCAGGACCTCCTTCCTCCTGCTGGTGACCCCTATAGTGATACATTCTAGAATTCTATTCTGATTCCCTGTTGCCTGGCCACACTGTTTGCTCATTTTGCAATCACCTGAAATAGGTATCCCAAGTCCTTTTCCTCTAAAGTGCTAGCCAACACTGTACCCCCAATGTTGTACTCTCTCAAGGGATTCTGTTTCCCTAGGTGTATTATTTTACATTTAGAAACATTGAACTACAATTTCCACTTTTTTGGTCAATCTTCCAGCAATGCCAAATCATTTTCAATGTTACAGACACCTCCAGGGATATCACCCATAATCAAAACCTCCCCCTTCATTGCCATTTGAGTTATCTCGTCAATTAACAAGTTATCATAATCTTCAGTCTGTTCTGGGGGTCTGTATATTACACCAATTCTAAGGGAAGATCCCTCTCTGGGTGGAAGGCAGACTCAGAGGGTTTTGAGTATATTATTTGTTTTTTTTAATTATTGGTAGACATGATATTTTTGACATACAGTATATGGCAACTCCTCTTCCCTACTGTGCTTTATTTTTACCACCAGAAACGTTAACTGAAGTGATCCCATCAGCCCATTCCTTAGCAACACAAACCCTCACATTTGTTTCAACCTGTTGGGGACAGAAATGCTCCTCAAAAATTACATCTCTGCCCCCATTTATCAGTTTAAATGCATGTCCAAAAAACTAAATTTTATGAAATTTAGGAGTTTTTTGGACATGCATTTAAACTGATAAATGGGGCAGATATGTAATTATTGAGGAGCATTTCAAGAAGCTCAACGCCCTTATGTGAGGGATTCAGACCATCTCTTTTGAACAGCTCAATGTCAAACCACCTGATAGCATCATGACTAACATAACCAAAACATTCAGATTTACACCAATCCTTTAACCAAACATTGAACCCTGCTATACAATGTACTGTCTCTTGTTGTCCATTATGCACAGGTAAGACCTCTGAAAATGTAACAGTACAAGGTTTAAAAAAAACATAAAAAATTCAAGAAAAGCAACTGAAAATACTGTAAAGAATGTAGAAATGAAATAACTTAAACTTACTGTATCCAGGTACTGTTGTTCTAACTTTGCACTTTTGTCCTGCTGCACTTCCAACAAGCAAAGTCTATAGAGTAAACTCTACAGAGTTGCTACCTCTCTTAAATACAACAGGTTACCTCTCTTGCATATGCTAATTGCTAACACCCAGTACTAAACACATGCTAATTGATAACATCCAGTACTCAACACCTAAGCAGCACACAAACAATTACTCCAGTACTTAGTAAACAATCACCAGTAACAACACAGACCCAATATCAAGGTTTAAAAAAAGTAAACAATTTGAGTAAAGCCACTATAAATACTGTAAAGAATTTAGAAATAAGTTAAACTTACTGTATTCAGCTACTGATGTTTAAATTATGCACTTTTATCCTGCTGTACTTCCAATGACTTCCAATGAGCAAAGTCTACAGAGTAAACTTTACAGGGTTGCTACCCCTCTTAAATACAACAGTGAGGTTACCTCTCTTCCATATGCTAATTGGTAACACCCAGTACTCAACACATGCTAATTGACAACACTCAGTACTCAACACCTCAGCAGCACACAAACAATTACTTAGTAAACAATTACCAGTAGCAACACAGACCCAATATCAAGGTTTAAAAAAGTGAACACTTAAAAAAAGGCAACTAGAAATACTGTAAATAATTTAGAAATAACTTAAACTTACTGTATCCAGCTACTGCTGTTCAAACTATGCACTTTTGTATAGCTGCACTTCCAACGAGCAAAGTCTGCAGAGTAAAGTTTACAATGTAGAGTAGATTAACAATAAGAAATGCACAAAATGAAGACAATAATAATTATGGCAATAACAATAATTGTACAGTAACCCAAATCGCACAAGTTATTACAATAAAACATAATCATAGATATAAAAATAAAAAAAATAATATAATAAATACATAAAAATTATAGCACTAGCTACATACAGTAGCTAAATTTGTATATAATAACTTACTGTGGAAGATAATTCGTATCTGGAGATTCAATTCAACTATCCAATTGTTACAGTATGAAGAATAAAAAATATGTATATATAAACCTGAAATAAAAAGAAAATGTAATACATATCATAAATTAGGTTTATACTTATGAAGACTAAAGAATGGTATAATTTCAAGTTCTTCAATAAGACCACCAGGAGATAAGGCATCTATGGCATATATCCAAAATGTTTCTTTCTGACATTATTCTGCTCTGGAAAGTTCTTTTGGAATTGCCTCAATTATTCAATTATATTTAGCTAAATGTCTGGGCATTCTGTGTTTATCTTTGCCCTCTTCCGTTAGTCAGCGATGTTCGCCAAAACAGTTTCAAAATGTGCGCGTAGTTCTGCCGACATATGCTAATCCATATGGACAGGATAGGGAGACCCATCCTATTATTGTTACAATGGGTAACAAAATCCTCAATGGACATTTCCGGTTCATCCCAAACAACGATAATATCATCGATATATCTTTCTAGAACACAATGTTGGGCAAGAAGGGGTTGTTTTGATATATGAAGAAAGTTTCCCAGAATCCCTTGGTTAGGTTCGCATATAATGAAGCAAAATTAGCTCCCATAGCAGTAAACTAAAATCCATCATATATATAGCTCCATGCCCACATTCCTTGCTGCAGAAGGCATGTTTCAGTGCCGAAAACCTCGGTGTAAGACGTGCCACTTCATAGAACATGGTAAAAAGAAATGTTACACTAAAGGCTAAAGATATAATATCAGGGGCTTTCACAATTGCTCATCAGAATATGTAGTCTATTCCCTATCCTGTCCATGTGGATTACTATATGTCGGCAGAACTATGTGCACATTACGAAAACGTTTTGGCAAACATAGCCTATTAATTGAAGAAGGCAAAGATAAACACATTTTTCTGAATATCACACAAAATCCACAGATGATCTAAAAGTTTGGATAATTGAGGTGAATCCAAAAGAACTTTCCCTGGCTTCCCTCTCCTGGAGTGATGCTGCAATTGTATGATGATTATCTACCTCTCCCCACTTCCACATGGCTGCTTCCAATCTACTCACATGAGTGCTTTGGATCTTCATGAACTTCTTTACCAGAGAGCCCTGTGTATTCTAACAATAGCACATGAACTACTGCATGCAGCATATAACATTAACCATAAGTATAAAGCTGTACACCAGTATGGAAATAACATGAGCTTTATATATATAAAGATTAATAACAGCATATGGATGCAATGTACAAACAGGTATTATCAGCAAAAGATCCAACAGGAGTTCTGGTGGAATTGTGAACATACAGTATACCGAGGTTTATGTTGTTATTAATAGGGATACCTCCAGATGAATGTTTCCAGATGAATGTTTCAGCATAGGTCAGTTTCAGGGGCCCCTAAGAATGATTGTGATGCAGCATCAGTCATGTTGGAGACATGAAGACAAACTCAGCAATAATGGGGGATCCTCCAACTGTTGTCCAACCAGATTGGAATGTAGCTTCACATCAGCGGAAATCATGGTGTGGCACTGGAATGCAGAGTCAGCCTATCTACTCAGTTGCTTAGTTCCTAGTAGATTCTAATCTGTCATGCAAATAAACCTCTAAATACTAAGCGTCTTACAGATGCTTAATCTAGCTCTAGCCTATGGTAGTTACTGAGCCCTAAGCTAGAACTAACTATAGAATCCCAGACCAGAAGGGATAGGTTTAACTAAAATAACAAGAGCTCCATATAAACTGTATTGCAATAAACAGGTTCATCTACTAACATACAACAAGGTGACCATTACACATGCCCACAGTGTCATGGGACAGAGCATGTAAGGTAATAACAAGGTGACAGACACAATTATATCAGTCTTTAGATATATACTCTAAATATATATATATATATATATATATATATATATATACTGTATATATATATATATATATGTATATATATATCACTTTGAGCAACAATAGTAAACTAATGAAATTAGGAGTACACTTACCTAATAATCTGTGCATTCTGAGCTGATTCAGTAACAGTTCTCCCCATGGACAGAATTTTTCTCTCTCTCCTCTCTTCCTCCTTCTGGGATTTTCAACCCAACAATCCACAGACAGGAACTGCTATACAGAATTAATTCTGTAATAAGCAGCATCTATTACAAATACAGACAGTAGAGTGCTGTGGATCCCTACACATAAAAAACATCCAATCTCACTACCCTTAAATATGACCTTTAAAATATGATTTGAAGTACAGTACAGTTTCCTCAAAACATTTTTTTTTTTCATTTTCACAGGGAGAATAAAGTGCAATTTTTGCATTTACAGATGGAGCCTTCTTGCTTTGTCCCGCTCACATTGCCTCTGATGAGCTATATTCTGTTCAGAAAATGGATATGCTTTTTTCATAAAAAATAAGATTTTCTGCCTGAAATAAGTACAATAGTTATATCATATTTCCACAAAAATATAGTCTACCGTATTTGCCGGCGTATAGGGCGACTGGGTGTATAAGACGCCCCCTAATTTTCCAGTTAAAACATAGGTTTTGGGCTATACTCGTCATATAAGACTACCTCCCTTCTGAGGCAACACCATTTAACCACAAGCCTACAGGGCACTTATACCCACTTCCTGCCCAGGCCAATTTCCAGCTTTCAGTGCTGTCACACTTTGAATGACAATTGCGCGGTCATACAACACTGTACCCATATGACATTTTTATCATTTTTTTGTGACATTTAGAGCTCTATTTTGGTGGTATTTTATCAACTCTGGGTTTTTTATTTTTTCTTAAACAAACCAAAAACCACTGAAAATTTAAAAAAAAAAAAATTTTTTTCTTCGTTTGTGTTCTAAAATTTTGTAAATAAGTGATTTTTCTCCTTCACTGATGTGCGCTTATGAGGCTGCAGTGATGGGCACTGATAGGCTGCACTGATGGACACTGATAGGTGGCACTGATGGGCACTGATGAGGAGGCACTGATGGGCATTGACAGGCATCACTGATTGGCACTGAAAGGCAGCACTGATACATGGCACTGATATATGGCACTGATAGGCTGCACTGACTGACACTGATAGGCGGCACTAACTGGCACTGATGGGCAGCACTGATGGGCTGCACTGACTGGCACTGATACGCAGCACTGACTGGCACTGTTAAGTGGCACTGATAGGCAGCACTGACAGGCACTGATAAGTGGCACTGATGCGCACTGATAGACAGCGTTGACTGACACTGATAGGTGGCACTGATTGGCAGCACTTATAGGTGGCACTGATGGGCATTGACAGGCATCACTGATGGGCACTGAAAGGAAGCACTGATACATGGCACTGATATATGGCACTGATAGGCAGCACTGACTGGCACTAATAGGTGGCACTGATTGGTAGCACTGAAAGGTGGCACTGATTGGCATTGATAGGTGGCACTGACTGGCACTGATGGGTGACACTGAAAGGCAGCTCAGATGGGCACTGATATGTGGCATTGATGTGCACTGGTATGCACTGATATGTGGCATTGATGGGCACCGGCACGTGGCACTGATGGACACTGACAGGTGGCACTGCTGGGGCTACACTGGTCATCAGGGCACACTGATCATCAGTGCCCTGATGTTCAGTGTACATGTCCCCTCCGCGGAAAGCCGATTACCGGCTCTCCTCTCCTCTGTCAGCGTGACAGCTCGAGAGGAGAGAAATGCCGATAACCGGCATTTCCCTGTTCACATGTGGTCAGCTGTGATTGGACACAGCTGATCAGATGACCGAGCTGACATCTTTGGCTCTTACCATGATTGGTGATCCGCTGTGTCTGAGGGACACAGTGCACCGCCGATTGCCGTGTGCTCCATGAGCCGCGCATGCACGGAGAATGGGAGGACGTCATATGAGCCAATCACGGCAAGTGATGCATTCTATTAATGAATACAGAGCCTGCTCGGATTGGCTGCGTCAGAGAGGCGGGCTGATGATGTCACAACTTCAGCCAATCCGAGCAGGCTCTGTATTCATTAATAGAATACATCGCTCGCCATGATTGGCTCAGCGCGGTATACTGTATGTAGCCGAAGCTACAGTACAGTATTACTGCATATCCAGCAGGCTGACATTCTATACCCCGTGTATAAGATGACCCCCAATTGTTGGGGTATGTTTTTAAGTATAAAAAGTAATCTTATACGCCGGAAAATACTGGTAATTTAATTATTTAAAAAGGTTATAAAGAGGGGGGGCGTGGCTGGCCAGCTCGAAGATGGCTGCGCTCTGCTACAGCTCCGTCACCCCTCCAGCTTCACCAGCGGCAACACTGTGACTCACGGTCATAAACCCCTTCGGCATCACTGCTCACCCTCCTGTCAGCTCCGGTTTCATGCCCCATCATTGGAAAATGCCCGGCTGCCCACATAAGCTGATGGACTTCTTCCCTGCACGGACCCCTGGCATCCAAGATGGCGCCGGCTGCACTCTGAATGATCCCTCCAGGATCAGAGAGGATCAAACAGCATATACACCGGACCAAGACTCCTGGCACCACTGTATGAGGAAGATCCGGGTGAGTCCTCTCCCCCTCTATCCCCATCCACAAGTAGCCCTACAAAATCAAGGCCCCGGATAGATAACTCCAACTCCATAGAACTCCAACTCCCTGCACTGCCACAAGGGCCTGTTTCTTCACCTCAGCCTGCCATATATTCCTTCCCTGTCTCTGATTATCTAGTGTCAGAACCAGGGGTGGACTGACAACTCATGGGGCTCCCGGGCAATAGGGGATCATGGGGCCCCTGTGTCCTTGCCCACACTCAAAAAAAGCCTATAAAAGGTACCAGGGGAATTTCATGGTGCCCCCTACTGACCCCGGGCCCTCAGGCAGTGCCCGAGTTCTCGAATGATCAGTCCGCCCCTGGTCAGAAATAACCATGAGGAATATGCTTCTTTCTTTAAGACAACCCCTCCATAATGATTTGGCCTCTGTGATATCTCCGCTAACTAACAAAATAAACATGATCAACGCTTACAACATATTGAAACTAAGATGAGCGAAATCTTCTCAGCCCATAATGACATGGTAGATGTACACACAGACCATGAAACAGAGATATGACAACTAAAATAAAAATAGCAGACTTAGAAGACCAGTCCAGGAGAAACAATATTAAATTGAATAAATGGTCAGCGGAGAGAATACAGTACCCTACCTACAACAATTAATGAAACATCTCCTCCCAACGCTCACAGATATTGAATTAGCTATTGATCGTGCCCATAGGATCCCTAAAACAAATTTTCTACCCGCATCAGTCCCTAGGGATGTACTGGCATGTATCCATTTCTACCATGTAAAAGAAAAAATTCTGACCGCTGCAAGAAACACTTCTGCACTTCCAGCATTACATGCCAATATCAAGCTATACACTGATTTATCAAAAGCAACACTGCTTAACCGAAAAAAGCTGATATCCATTACCAAAACAGTCCGCAACAATGGCCTTGGCTATCAGTGGGGATTCCCTATTAAGTTCATAATTAAGAGACAGGGAAGACCTTACACAGTTAGAAGTTTTGAAACAGGCCTTGAGCTTCTCAAAGAATGGAACATACTACCTGCAGACAAACACCCACCTAACCCAAATCAACCACAGCAAATGGAAGTGAAATGGACCTGATGGAGGTCCAATAACCTCATCGAGATCACCAAAACTCTACTTAACTTAACCCTATTACAAATAGCTGGAATCCTGGCCATACCCAAGAAACCCTGAGAGCTCAAGTTGTTCATCAGCATGACAAATATGATATGTCATGCTTGTTTAACTGCCTCCCCATAACAGTAGCAATATATGCTACTAATTTTTCTTGTATTTTTTACAAGAATGTTTTACTTTCCTTTGTTTCATATTTCCCCTGTTTATACTACAAGTTCCTACTACTCCAACGCTCTCTTCCAGTGACCTGGCAAGTATTCTCACAACAACTATCTTCATGTGACCGCACCAATCCTTTTGAGGCCTTAGACTTTCTCGTTCAAGAACAACTAACAATAGTTGCCCATATTAAATTCCTTATTTCTCTACTCCTCAACCAGCAATATTTTCAGCCATGGCAATTAATATAGCCTCACTTAATGTCCGTGGTTTCAACTTTCCATTTAAAAGATCATTACTGAACAAAGAAGCTCGAGCTGTACAAGCAGATATCCTTTTTATCCAAGAAATACATTTTGCTGTTCTTAAAGCACCTCGCCTCACCACTATAAAAACATTTTGTACACTATTTTCAGCTTCCAACCTCAATAAAAAGAAAAATGGAGTCCTTATGGCCATAAGAGACACATTACCATTCCAACTCATCTCTGAATTTGCAGATCCTCAGGGCCACTTCCACATTCTCATTTGCAAGATTAATAATACTCAATACACCTTGATAAATGTTTATGCACCTAATTCCAACTAAATTCGATTCTGTAAGAAACTCTACACTAAACTCACCTCTCTCAGAAAAGGACACCTAATTATTGGAGGAGACTTCAACATTGTAGGAAATGTCCAACTTGACTCATCATCGAGTAAACGTCCATCAAACAATTCCCTGAACAACTTCTTGCATACCAATGACCTATACGATATATGGAGATGCCAACACGGTTCAGAATGGGACTACTCCTATTACTCTCCCTCCCAACTATCATATTTCAGAATAGACTTTTTGCTAACAGATAAATGGACACTACAATGTATCACCGCATCAGAGATTGGATCCATAAACATGGTCTGACCATGCCCCAATCACCATCACGATTGACAAACCATCACGGCCTACCATCTTGCAACTCTGGAGACTGAACTCATCGCTCTTGGCGGACCCCAACCATAGAAACTCTATACTGAAAGTGCACTCAATGTTCTTTGAAACAAATGACACACCTGACATCTCCATAAACACCCTGTGGGCAACTAACAAAGCATATATGAGAGGACTTCTCATAAAAATAAAGCGCTCAGATCAATAGACAAAGGAAACACCAGGTTGAGGAAATCTTAGCCTCTATAAAACTAAAAGAAGACATAAATAAAACTGCCCCAACTCCAACTAATTCTGCAGCTTTAACAGCAGATAGGAACACTCTCCGTTCTTTACTCCCTTATAAATACGATCTTAATTTGAAAAAATTGAAAGCCAAATACTACTCCTTAGGAAATAAAGCTGGATCTTTACTGGCAAGAACAGTTAAGAATCAGCGCCTCAAAACCAAAACTAGCTCGGTTATTTACCCAGTATCTGACTCACTTACAACAAACCCTTTAGATATAGCATATGCCTTTGCCGACTTTTATCAGTCACTATATAATCTCAAAGATGACAGCGAAACTACACAGCTGTCTCCTAACTCCATACACCAATTGTTACAATCAATACATCTCCATAATCTGACTTTGTCTCAACTGTAAACCTTGTCATAACCTATTTCAATAGAAGAAGTTGAGTCGACCATGAAAACATTACCACTCAATAGATCCCCCAGAGGAGATGGATACACAAACGAATATTACAAAAAATTTGCCCCAATTTATCTCCATACCTAACAAAACTTTTTAACTGTGCCGCATCCTCTGGCTCATTACCTGCAGAAATGTTACAATCCATAATAACGACAATACGCAAACCAGGTAAAGACCCTCAGCTTGTACAAAAATAGACCAATATCTCTCATAAAAACAGATGTGAAATTATTTGCAAAAATAATAGCCCTGAGACTCCTTCCATTTCTCCCATCACTGATCCATCCAGATCAGGTGGGATTTATACCAGGCCCCAGACGCCACTAGAAGAATTCTCTCTCTCATACACAATCTTGAAGCTACAACACCACCTTCCCTACTTCAATTTTTAGATGCAGAGAAAATATTCCATCGCATACACTGGGGATTTATGCAAGCAGTTCTACATAAATTTGGCATCACTGGTTGAATACAAACAGCTATTATGTCCCTATACTCATCTCCCTCGGCTAAAGTACTCACAGATGGTATACTATCTAAATCATTTAAAATCTCAAATAGTACCAGACAAGGGTGCCCACTATCGCCTATTGTCTTTGCATTCCTTATCGAACCCCTTGCCCCTAAGCTAAGGGAAGAACCCCTATTCACCGGCATTAAATACCACAACTATTAGTCTATTCGCAGACAACATCATCCTAATGGTAACAAACCCACGTTAGTCACTTCCCATAAAATGAAAAAATCTTGATTTATATGCAGAGGTGTCCTACTATAAACTTAATGAAAATAAGTCTCTAATCCTAAATCTACATACCCCCTAAAAAACCCAACAATATCTCTCAAATCAATTCTCGTTCACATGGACAAATTGATCAATTCCTTATTTATGAATCAACCTAACCCCAAAAATTAATCAAGTCTATGCTTCAAACCACAAATTATTCCTCCAAACATTACCTAAAGACCTCCTTTCTTTCCAGTCTTCTGGCTTATCTAAATTAGGCCGAATTGCAACCCTGAATATGATCATCCTACCTAAAATGCTCTACCTATTTCGGACCCTTCCCATACTAGTACCCTCCAATTTCTTCCGCAAAATGCAACAGCACTTTACCCAATTTGTGTGGGACTCCAAAAGGCCCAGATGTGCTACTAACTTACTAATATGACCACTAAGCAGAGGCACTGGTCTCCCCCTTTTACGATCATACTACTTAGCCACATTATTGGACCAAATTTATTTCTGTTGGCACCCAACCAAGGAAAAGATCTGGTCCTCAATGTAATCTCAATTATTCCATCCACTAGAGATACAAAATCTCCTATTTAT